TTTTTTATCTTTACTTATTAAAAATTCAGTTTTGTTATCAATGTTTGGCAATAAAATCCATAACAACAGCTTGCCATTTTGGACTTTGTATCATTGACTCAGAATAGTTCTGAGTAACTTCTTAGTTCAAGCTTTAGTAAACTGAAGTGACTATTCTATCTTAAATTTGTGACCAAGAGTATGTTCCCAAATGGTAAACTATATTCTGCACGGATATCTAAGGATGACCAGAATGACACTTTCTTTGATTTAGGCAGGGGGTATTCCAGAATAAGCTATCTATTCCCTTTGCATTTTCTCATCTTTTTCTTAAAATCACTGCAATTTTAACCATTCTGCTCCTCTGAGCCATTCACTACTATCAAAACTGTAATAAACTTTGATAACTATAATTTTCCAATCTCTGTTTTGTTATTTTTCTACATTATTTTTGCCAAAGATCACTGTATTCCTGGGTTGTTAGGCACATATACAACTCAATAGCTTTTGCTATATTTTATATCAACTGCACAATAGATTGAACTGCTATGTTTCAGTTTTTTAAAGAGCTGCTTTATATTTATTAATCTTTTGTGCCTAGAAAATTAATTATATCCAGTCATTTTTTTCTTCATTATGTATAACTTGCTTCTTGCAATCATTCTTGGTATATTTTGCATATTTTAGTAGCCTCTTAATTCCTATTTAAGTTTGTGGCAGGTGACATGAACCCAAGTTGAGGTCCTCAGGATATGATATGTATGTCTGCCAGATTCATGTTTCTTACAATTATAAGACCTTTGAAATTCCTATGCCTTATCATGTTTCCCAGTTAATATCTTCTGGCAAAACATGGGGGCCAGCTGTTTCGCCTTCAAGAAATTAATCATCTTTAACCCTCAAGTAGTGTACTAATACACTCCTTCCTTCAGCTGTTCAATGCAAAACATTTAATGATTTATTCTCAAGCAAACAACTTTCCAGAAAAGAACTGCTAAGTTTAGTATTTAGGAAGATGATTTACCAGTCTAAACTTCAGCTTAAGTACTTAGACTTTCTGGAACCAGGGTTTCAGGTTGCAACAGTGATTCAAGTTTTCAAGACTGGAGATCAATAAATTAAGCTAAAAGCAATATAATATTAATTTAGAACAATTTGCTCAATATCTAGAAATTTGTTTTTACTAACAAATCATTGAAACAAATAATATTTTTACCTAAAAGAAAGACACTCTTGACTTTTAAAAGCTGTTACACCCCCATGATTACTATCCACAGGAAGATCAGATAGGAAAACTGTTATTAATATTCTCAAAAATAGTTTATACTGTAATCTGGCTTACCTAGCATGTCAATTAAAGTTACCAATTTCAAGTGAAATCAATTCTGAAGATTTTTTTTAATCTAACAAATATATGCATGAAATATGTTGTGTACATGGGGAGAATGTGCACATATGCACAAAACACAGATACATGCACTGGATAGAACCAGACTTCTTAAAGGGAAGATGCCAGGAACAAAGATTAAATGAATGTTATTATACTTTTAAATCAATTGCCATTACATTACTATATTATATTATATTATATTATATTATATTATATTATATTATATTATTATATTATATTATATTATATTATATTATATTATATTATATTATATTATATTATATTATATTATATTATATTATATTATATTATATTATTATATTATATTATTATATTATATTATATTATATTATATTATATTATATTATATTATATTATATTATTATATTATATTATATTATATTATATTATATTATATTATATTATATTATATTATATTATATTATATTATATTATATATAATTATTTATTGCATAATTTTGTAGGTTACCCAGTTGCAAGGAGTGTACAGAATATATAATAACACAAAACCCCAGCATCTTTCAATCCCCTCTCATACAACTGTCCCAGGTACAATACTGAACAGTTTTAAATCCAGCCAAAACAAAAGACACCATTATCATCACCATTAACTCATAAATACCTATTAAACAGGCTAAGATGGTACATTTTTCCAAATGCCAAAAATGAATGAGGAGCTAAGCTCTTCCATAGTGTCAGTGCCACCACAAAGATGGTTTGCCTCTGGTCCCTGATCTCCTTGATTTCCCATAGGATGAGGACCCTGAACAACCCCTATCGAATGATCACACAGGATGGGTGGCTTCTAGTCAAACCAGACAGTCCCAAAGTGGGAGTAGGTTATAGTTGTAGTATCTTATAGGATAACATTACCAGTTTGAATTGAACAGGGAAAGATAATCAGCAATCAATGTGACAATCATTAATATCTGCTAAAGTAGCTTACTCCACCCAGGGCACCACATTTTGAACCAATATCATTCACACAACCCTTTCCATCCCACACACCTATTGCATATCACATACTTACAGACATACAATTTTATTTCGAGAATAAGCAATACTGAACTCTGTTGGCATGTTACCCTTGACTTTCAAAACACTTTTTCAATTTGAAGTAATTTGAAATATGCCAGCTACATTCATTTGGAAATACAGAGATGCATATATTACTCCTCTAAATATGATTCCTCAGTATTTAGATTCCAATTATATAGTGTAAATTGCTCATGAAAGGAATATTGGATAACCATTATGAAGAGGAAGGTTATGGGGAAATTGATCTCTAGTTTGTTAACAAATTAGAAGGAACTGATTTTCATTTTCTTTTTTGGGAAAGAGTCTTCGAGATGAAAAGGGATTAAAAGGTGCAAAAGGAGAAAAAGTAAGTAATCAATTGCTATTGATAGTTATGATTGTGCGACTTATTTTTTTTTATTGGATTTCTGGAAATTAAAAGTGGGTTTCATTCTTGCCAAAACCTTTAGAGACAGAGAGGAAATCTGGATTTGAGTAAAAATGTCCTTATAAATATTGAGTTTACTTGTATTCTGTCACAGGGAGACCCATCTGAAAAAGGAGAAAAGGGGGACTCTGTAAGTAAAGCTCAAAATTCGCTTTATGTTTACAGGATCCTGTGAGTCAATACATTTAGTCAATACTTGTCAATACATTTAGAATTTCTTTGTGGATAAAATGTGAATTTTTGTGTGTTATCAGCATGCTCAAATAATTGCAATTATAGGAGGATAGAGTATAATCTAGTTGGGACAATTATCTCTGGAAGAAGCCCATATCTTGGAGAAATTAGTTCATGATCTATCTATTGGTTACACTTGTATTCTTTCATATCCTTTTTTTTACAGATAGGACATTTGCATAAAGATCTATGCTTAGATTCCAGTCATGCAATTATTTCTGAAATTATATTATTTTCATCATTGGGACTCTGTGTCTTGAATTTGAAATGTATAGGCCTTATGGAAATGTTACATCCAGTTGTGAACATCTGACAGATTTGGTGGCTGAATTTGTTGTCACTACTCTATGTAATCCAATTGTCACATGATATAAATTAATAGAATAGAATAGAATAGAATAGAATAGAATAGAATAGAATAGAATAGAATAGAATAGAAAGAGACCTTGGAGGTCTTCTAGTCCAGCCCCCTGCTCAAACAGGAGAATCTATACCATATCAGACAGATGGCTGTCCAGTCTCTTCTTAAAAACCATTAATGATGGAGCGCCCATGACAAGCTGTTCCACTGATTAATTGTTCTCACTCACTGTTAGGAAGTTTCTCCTTAATTCTTTCTTTGTGGCAGCCCCTCAAATAATGGAATGCTGCTATCATGTTGCCCCTGTTTCTTCTTTTCTTTAGACTAGCCAAACCCAAGTTCTGCAGCCATTCTTCATATGTTTTAGTTTCCAGATCTTTGATCATTTTAGTTGCTCTTCTCTGAACTTTTTCCAAGGTCTCAATATCTTTTTGTAGTATGGTGACCAAAATTTACAGATCAAGGGATTGATTTGCTCCAGAAGTATTTGTGAAGGGATGACAGCACCTTAATTACTTATCTGAGCAAATGCTCAGAGATTCTTTTCTTCATTATTAACTGATGATACTCAGTGATCATGGTTACTTCCAGTGAAAGTGATGAATTATATCCAATATTATCCTTGTTTCGAGGCATGCTCCATATACTTCTAGAAGTTCCCAAACACTAAGGTTAGATTTTAGTCATAGGTGAATTTTAATTAGTAAGTGATAATACCACTTAAGTTTTGTCTGATCTCAATTTATTGTCCACATTTATGCAAAGCCATGGATCACAAGGACCACCTCTACAATAAATGGGTATGATTCTGTATGTAAAAAGAAACCATCTACTAGCATATCACCATTGGGAACACACTGCAAAGAGATTACACTAACAGGTTCTAGAGTCAAACTATTTGCTTTGCAAGTGATTTCATTTTTTTAAAGTAAAATTGATCTATAGACATTAGAAACATATTAGTGTGTCATTAATATATATACTTACCAACTCTGCAATTTCATCTCTAAAAGCTTGCTTTTATTAAAATGTTGTGTTAGGGTGAAGCAGGAGAGTCAGGTCTTCCAGGGTCTATTGGAAATCCAGGACCTTCGGTATGTAAATTATATTTAATGAACACTAATCAAATACCACATCCAGTAATGCAATGTATTTTAGCAACATCTGGAGGCCCACAGATTTTCCACCCCCCAAACTAAAGTTTAGAATGCTACTTCTTCCGCAAAGAACATGCATTTTATTTCATTTTATTTAGACAATAATGTGTATTTTGACCTTCAATTTGCATAGGTAGTCAAAGCTAATTAACAGGAAATCCACCAATTAAAATAAAACTAAAATAGGTTTCTAAAGATGCAAGAAAAATAAGACATCAAGCTGAAATAATAAAATTAATTTTAGCCATATTTTTAGAGATAAATAGATTATATGATGGGAGGCATCAATTTTAGAGACAGGAATGGCTCCATGCCATGGACATAAGAGTGACACCACAGCTGAAAACCCTTTTTTGTTTAATATCCAATTTTTCTCATCAAGTGGAGAAGCCAGAGGACAGCTTCTGAAAATTACTACTGGAATAAATTGCATCACTTCCTATTTCCCATGCTTCTTTAAAAAAAAAAACTGAAAAGAAGTCCCCAACTAATCCAAGACCAGTCTGGAGATTTAGTTTCCTTCCTTGTCTCAGAAATAGACAAAAAGGAACACTTAATTCTAGATAGTTCTTGTTTAGTGTCCACAAATGGGACCAGCAATTAAGTGAAGCAATTGCTAAGTGAAACATCATAATTCTACAATCATAAGAGCTATGGTGGTCTAGTGGTTAGAGTATTGCAGGCCAGGAGTTCAATTCCCCCAATTCTGACCTGCTCAAGGTTGACGTAGCCTTCCATCATTCCAAGGTCAATAAAATGAGGACCTAGATTGTTGGGGGCAATAGGCTGACTCTGTAAAACCGCTTAGAGAGGCCTATAAACTACTGTGAAGCGGTATATAAGTCTAAGTGCTATTGCTATTTTACTTCAGCTTTCCTTTCTTTTACAGACATGTGAAATCATAAATTCAAGGATTGGTCACACAGTTAGTTTTTAATTACTGTAGTAACTGTGAATCATTGCTAAACAAGAGGGTCACTAAATGAGGACTGCCTGTATTACATTTTCTATTGCATGTAGTGGAGTGACTTCTGGAAATTGTGTAGTCTTTTAGTTAGAACAAACTTTTTCCCTCCTTTTTCATGTAGACATTAGCAAAATCAGATTATTTTAACCATTTTGGTGCCAGTTTCAGTGTACTGATTTTTATATCTTTAAACAATTTTATATCTGTTATTTAGAAGAAGTTTACATTTTCATGTATTTTCTTCAAATAAATTCCTTTATTAAAAAGAACAGTATAAATATATGGAGGGGTTCTTTTTTTTTCTCTTCCTTTTCTAAAAATTCTGTATTGTTATCACTATGTTCTAGGGAATTCCAGGACCACCTGGCGCCAGAGGATCTTCAGGAGAAATGGCAAGTATCATACTGCTCTTTGTAAGAATTATTCAAGTACAATATTAACCAATGAAATAATAATATTAAAATGTTGGTGATCTCATTTTACAAGGTATATGAGAGACGTATTCAATGTGCAAAGATCTGGAGCCAGACATGCTGAGGTCTTCCATGATAACAATTTATGGTTTCACTCACCCCATCAAGTGTGGTAATAAATCACTAAGGCAGTCTTTATATAATTACAACAATAGCTAGGTGACCCTGTAAAATTGCTACTGTAGAAGGCCTCAGTAGTTTTATTGCTATATACTTCTGGGTAGTTACAAATATGCTGTTCTATTTCTGTGTCTTTGCTACTGTTACTAAGCAGGTCAGCCTTAATAATTATTTTGACAGTTTACAGTATAAATGTGGATTGCCATATTTTTAGTTACACTTTGACATATTTTTTTTCCAGAAAAATGAAGCTATAGGCTTGAATGTTGCTAAGATCCCCAGTTCTTTACCTGGCAGATGGGGAAACCAATATTAAGTGGTTTATGCCTGTCCATTAGTGATTAATTAAAACTGATTCTATAGAACTCCAAGTATATGCAAACACCTGATTTTCAGGTCAACTTCCTTTCATCTACTATCTATTTACTACTCCGGTCACACAAACCATGAGGCTAATTCTTACTTCTGGCAGGAACAGTAGACAAATCCTGAAATGTCCTTCCTCAACATTATCTGCTAAATAAAAAAGTGCTTCTGGAACACATAGCTTTGGAATATTCAGTCCTTTCTGTGCAGTCACATTGCTAAGATTTTTTTTTTCAGATTTATTTTCAGATTTTTCATTCCCCACACTCACGTTTTTAATCTCTCTGTATTATTTATTTTAAATGTATAACTATCCTTTTATTTATGTACCTGGATCTTTATTTTGGTATTGGATTGAGCATGAACATTCCAAATAACAGCCTTGGATTCATCTGGCTTTTAGACCTGTTCTCATGACTTTATCTAGTCCTTTTCATGCTCCATTTTGTTGCATTCGTTTCCAAGTCCAGAGACTTTTTTCATTTTCTTGAATCAAATTGTTGCCCTATATACTCATATACATTTGTACTGCCATGTATTTTTATATGGAGTTCACATCATTAAGATTTACATTGGCCACAGCTCAGCTTCCGAGTAACTAAACATTACTCACTTAATTAAGGTATTTCTCAGGTGTTACAACTTTTGAGTCTGGGTCCAAAGGCTATGACTGTTTTCTCAATTGTCTCACTATTATTTATGTTAACTACTGTTCCAGGAGCACTAAATATCTAAGAAGAGATTTTGTTTTTAGACTTCCTAATCCACCATCTGTAGAAATGGATTATGAGATGGTAGCTGCCAAGAAAAGTTAAATTCAGATAATCATGAAATTCACTGAGGAATCTTGGGCGAGTGAAACTTTACCATAGTGATCTACTTTACACGAATTGTAAAAACAGTGAGGTACACATATTTTGGTATGCTATTCTGAACTCATTGTAAGATGATAAAACATAGATATTTTTTCTCATCTGTATCACGAACAGAACATAGTAATTCAAATCTAGTTTCTTTAACATTCGTATGCCTATATACGTAAATGGCCACCTTATCAATAAGCAATCAAAGTCTGTGAGTTTCACCTTACACAGAAATGAAATAAAATAAACTTTTTTCCCTGTGATGGAAATAATTCCTTTTTCTCTTGTAAATTCATACACTTTTTGACAAATTTTACTATTTCCTGAGATAGGTAGGTAGGTAGGTAGGTAGGTAGATAGGTAGATAGGTAGATAGGTAGGTAGGTAGGTAGGTAGGTAGGTAGGTAGGTAGGTAGGTAGATAGATAGATAGATAGATAGATAGATAGATAGATAGATAGATAGATAGATAGATAGATAGATAGATAGATAGATAGATAGATAGATAGATAGATAGATAGATAGATAGATAGATAGATAGATAGATATGGTATAAAGATGAGATGCATTATTTTCTTTGAATGAAATTAACTGTAAAGCCTCAAAGCTATTTAATTTTCTGCTTCTCTTCTTTAGAATTTATTTTAGAATGGTCACATACATAATGTAAACCTGAATAGAACTCTAAAAAATGGCCCATTTGTTTATATATTCTAATTTATTTCATGTTTCATGTTCCTTTATTTAAGGTCAGAGATAAAAAGAAATAGGATAGATAATAAAGTCAATGTAGTTGAGGCAAAGTTGATACTGTATCAAAAGTTGAGGCTTTTGATACTGTGGACCACGGTATCATGCTGCGGCGTCTCGGTGAGTTAGGAGTGGGAGGCACTGTTATGCAGTGGTTCTCCTCCTTCCTCACCGACCGTACGCAGTCTGTATTGGCAGGGGGACAGAGGTCGACTCCTAGGCCCCTAACTTGTGGGGTGCCTCAGGGGTCGGTCCTCTCTCCCCTATTGTTCAAT